GCGTTTTCCCATTTGTGGGAGATGCTGTGAACATTATACTCATATACACGTATGAACATTCACCAAAATACAAACACTTTGCTTTGCATTCACACATAAACACAAATGTTAATGTCTATGTCATTTGTAAATTTGTTGTTTAATACATATATTTGTTGACATATATATTTTGGTCTTGTTTGTTTTGTTTTCATCTTTGGTTGGACAACTTGAGTCTGCTATTTTCTTGGACCTTCTAGCAGGAATAAATAGCACATATTTCTAATACAACAACACCACAACCCACATGGTCCTCTACAGCTTTATTGAATTACTTGGGATGAAATGATTAAAAAATTTACTAATTACACATCCTGAATTTCTATAATGTATTGCAATATTTATAGTATATAAATATAATTATAGTAGGTTAACTTTTTCTGTGCTGTGTTCCTTCAGGATGAGGACAATCATATTTCTCTACAACTATTTGTCTCTTAGCAATGTTTGTCTTTTTGCTATCTTTCCTAAACCCTGTTCTGCCAACCATTTATGCAAGCATTTTATATAGGTTATGTGCTGCTTTCCTCTGTCTGTCTTGCTTTTAAAATGTCTTGTGAGTATTAAATTTTCCAAGCCCATTTTCCTTATTATGTGCTTTAAAAATTTCAATTATCTCTTTCTGATTCTAAGTATAAGTGTAATTTTTGTTTCCATTTTCTCTAAAACTTTGTTCAGTCCATGATGTTCTCAGCATCCTTCTGCAGAACCACATTTCATTTACCTCAAGTCTGCAAGGATTTTGAATGTAAGTTTAGTGATATCAATCGGCTGACATCTTATTAAATGGAAAACAGTTGGACCTGTCACAAAAATAGATTCGGACATTTATTTTTGACTAATGATTATCAGTAAGTAGAGTCAACTTCAAAGTACAGAGCAAGAGGCTCAGACAGAGAGAAAGTCACTGAATGAAGACAAATTACTTTTTTAGATGAAGATGATAAGACAAAAAGCAATGTTTTTCTATAAGACTGCCCATTACTGTAAAAAGACATAGAGAGATGTAATGAGCCTCTAGAGAAAAACATAGAAGATATATCATTAATCTGTCCACCTCCCCCCTCACTTATGTTTCATCTTGGGTCACACTCGGCTATAGCATTAGATTACAATAGAGATCTGCTTACTACTACAGTCAGCCCATGGCTTTATTAATTTATAGGTAACAATCTGACCAAAGAGTAATTTTTAAGTCACAAGTGTTTGACTGGAAGAAGCTGCACCCTCACAATGAACCTGGTGTCTGGTCTGAGCTCCAATGTTTCAGAAATGCTTTGTACCCTTTACAGAGTCTTCACAGTACAATGATTTTAGTGCAAGAATATATACTAATAACACCATATTATTCTCATTCTAAAACCATCTAATGGTCCAGTTATTACTCCAAATCTAACCAATATCCTTTTACCTGACAGGCATTGCGTTTCATAATGGTAATATATATTTCGTATAGTTTATAAATATCAGATTGCACAGTGATGATTGAACTAAAGAATAACTAGCACTCACTGTGTTGTATGAAATTGCAAAATAGTTTAAAAATCCTATCATTATGCAAATGAATGAAGACACAAGACCAAATCTACTATACATAAAATTATTATTTATTCAACTTCAGAGTTTGTCAATTACTGTTTAGTGAGTGGGTGTGTGGCTTTGGGGCTTTCACTCAACATGGATTCTACATTATGAAAATATAAAAACTCTCCTCTCTTCCCTCTCAGGTGGGTGCTTATATATCTAGCTATCATCTTGTTTATCAAGTGTGCATATCCTGGGTTAACTACCTGTCTACATCTTGTAGGCAGGCACTGTCATTCAGTGAATGTGTGAATTCATACCAGGTAGTTAGGAGGTCATCTCTCAGGTCCACCTACTGATGCACCTGGCTTCTCTGATGGACACAGAGAGCAAAGTCTATTTTGGCATAATCTGAGGGATTGCACATACTGAAGAAAATATCACTACATTATTGACTTAAGCTTGAATGATGGAAGATGGGCAGGATCAAAATATTCAGTATTTTATGTTATAAACTAGATGGCATAAATACAAAAGAAGATAATGGCAAACTTGATCACTTACACAAATTTGCTACAAGCAACCTATCATGCCTAAATTAATCAAATTCTAATCCTCGGACTTTTAATTTTTTACTTTTATAATAAAATTATTTGGCAAAAACATGGAGCTTTGTGCCCACAAAATAACAATGTGTCAAAAGGACAGTTTTTCTCATGACACAGCTTTTATTTTGACTACCTTCAATCTTTGGTGGCAATGTTTATTCTTTTAAAAAGTGATGATTAAAATTCTAATAAAACTTAAACATATGAAAATGAATTTATACATTATCTTTGTTTTTGACAATTGACATCAGAAATAATAAACACTATTTATTTATTAAAGTGTTTATTTATACTATTATATTTTTATTGGGATGGTTGACAACTAATTTAAACTTTATAAAATGCTAAATAATAAAAATTTCCTTATAGCTGGTTCACATATTTTAATAATTTAGTAAATGTTTATAAATTTATAATAATTGATAAATAAAAATTGTCTTCATATTTATTTCTTTATAAATTGGTAAATGATAAATATTGCATTGCATTAGTTTTAATTGTATAACATTGTACTTCATGGATGGAACAGAATAGTTGAATAGAGAAGGAATGACAAACATACTTTGCTGTCAGAGAGAGTTTTATAATGCTATGCTGTACACAAAGTTATATGTAGATATATGCATGTGTCCCAGACAGAGAAATCTATATAATAAATGTGAATGTCAGTGTGTCATGATGTGAATGTCACACTTTTTCAATTAAGGGGACATAACTCTCTATCAATAACTCATCTTCTTTTATGTAAAAAATGTCACACTTTTATGTAATGTGTCACACTTTTTCAACTTTACTCGTAGAGGCAGTAGCCCAACATATTATACTATTTTCAAATCAAGCCACCTCTGTGAACAAATTAAAAACATTTTGTGCTGGATCCAGTTCCACAATCTTGAAATTTTGGATTCCCAAGTTTTCATTACTGCAATTGTTTTCAGTGACTTTTGTATGTCATTTTTTGCAACAAATTTTTTTTTTATGATAACAGTTTTTATAACTTGGAAATAAATTTGGGAATAATTGAAATTAATTGCAATATCCAACAAAAGTTACTCATGAAATAAAAATAATTGTTTGTACGGAAAGTAAGGACCTATGTACATCAAACTGTCTTTAAATTAAGTGGCAGAAGAAGAATTATCATTGAACTTTTAAAAGGTTAGCTTAAATATTAATGTGAAACTTAAATTTAGCAAACAATTTTGAGTTCTTCTGTAGTTTATTGTTACTTATTGCATCTACTCCTTCCTGCCTATTGTGATGAAGGCCCAATCAAGAACCCTCCACAAGAGCTAGCTTAAATGCCACCCAATAAGGTGGCTTTTAAGCTAGTTATAACATGTGCAATGACAAACAATGTGTAAAAAAGGTGGACCTTACTTGTAATATTTCCCAAAGTAAAAACTGGAGTTGCAGCAATTTCTCTATAAACCTGGTGATGCCATATAGTTTTTCCTGTAAAATCTACCAATGTGGGTTAGGGTCATACCTCATCTCCAGGCTCTACAACTGCCCTTCATCACTCTATCCCCTGATGTCATTCACCAGGCATCACATGACCCTTGTAACTATCTAAACTAAAGGCAGACAATCATCTTTCATACCCCTACATACTTTTTACTGCAAAAGCAATAACATTTTATGACAGAAAAATTAAATATTTTTAAAAGTAGCTTTAGATAAAATAGATAAAAGAAAGAAATATTTTGAATTAATCTATAAAATATTTAATGGTGATGTAGCAAAGAGGTGCTACAGGATTATAATGCATAAAGTTGTTGTTGAGCATCAATTTGTGGCAAGAGAAGTTTTCAATTGTGGCTGATGAAGACTTTCAGAATAAATTAATTCAGTGTGTAGAGGATATTTATGGATGTATTTTTATGAAGAACAACATGGTTCACAAAAGAAGAGAAAGAGAAAATTACATTTACAGGTATACCAATAGTTTCAAAAAAAGGAAAGAAAAACATGTGCTTAGCTGTTGTATGTGTATGAGGGAAAGTGTGCCACATGGTTAAGTGAAATTAAGAAGTTGGTTTGCCAGGGGAAAAGATCTCTCGAGAAGGAACAAAACAAGTCATGTTGTTCATACTACTATATCTTGGAGCAAAAAGAGAAAGGGGACATAATCCCCCTCTTTTATAGTCCTGAATAAAATGCTACCTAACGGGAATTTTGGTAGACAATGTGAGTGGTACTTTTTTTTAATTACAGTCATAATAATATTATTTCTAACTTATAATTTAGAATACAGAATAATGTTTATTTTACATTTTTTTCTTTCCAGTTTTGTACTTTTACATAAATTTTCTTGAAATGGGGTGCTGTGGAGAATTGCAGTTGTGCTAAAGCTAAATTATAAGTTAAAATTATTAATTAAAATTATTTTTTCAACCTTCAGTGTATCAATAAACTTCTTCCATTAAGCTCCTCTCCACAAAAAAGTAATTACTTTTTAAAAAATTAATTTGAAATAAGAAAATTATAAATGCTGTTATTTTCTTTCCTTTTTATTTCTTTTGTAAATTTTACGTTCGAATCACTAAATGAAGCTAAAACTATTACGGAATATGTATGAGTAGGTACATGCCAAAAAGTAGCACCGGTAAACTCTTTTACTTTTCAGTAACTTCATTTTAAGTGACAAAAGATATTATTTTGTTAAAAAGATTTTACAAGTAGAACTATATTGATATATAACAACCAGGATTGGAATGTTTGTGAATATCTGTTGTTTACAGCTTTTTCTTTTGGGTCAGCTGACGACACCGGCCACGTTTCTTTATTTTTTGACGTGGCTACGCATGCGCACGAAGTTACATCAACATGGCGAGTGACGCAGTTGACGAACTCTTTGAAATAAAAACTGCTTTGTATATTGGTAATTACCAACAATGTATCAACGAAGCACACAAGCTGAAGGTAATGTATAGCAACGCATATTGTACTTCCAAAAAAGGTTCAGCAGTTTGAATTATACACCAGGTGATAATTTTGCTTCGGACTTCAAGTAAGAAAAGAAAAAGTGATTGAAACTCATCATAAGGAAATGTATTTCCGACTGAAAGTTTTACAAATACGTGTTGTATATATTAGAAAAAAAATGATGTTTCTTTGCACGTTTTTAGACGTACAATATTGTACAGGCATCCTTAATTTTTTGGAGATTAAAATTTAATGAATATTGCTTAGTAAAAAGAAAGCTTATAGTGGGTGGGTCCGAAAATGTATTGATTCTTTATTCTTAAAACAAGTAGCAATTAGAAATTGCTGAAAATTCAACATAAATGTAATCCATGCTCCTAACACAAGACAAGATCTTCACTCACATACCAGGACTCCATCACTCTGTCTAGTCTAAGATCTGAGATTTAATTCTACTTTTGTTATAAGTTAAACTTTGATTTTAAAAAATACAAACTGACGAACTCCTTTGCAACATATGAAATTCCTTTCTTTGAATCTAAACTTAACATTGACATAAGTTCTTAAAAATTAATATTATTGTTGTTTATCATATGACTAAGAAATAGTTAAAAAAAAAAAAATCGAAGTTCTTGTTCTTCCCAAGAGCTGCTGCTTTGTGAAAAGGACTCTCGGCGGTATGTTTTTCCCATGGTCTTTTCAAGTGTATGGTTAAAAAACCGTTCTTTCCTGTATAACCCCATAAACTTCACTTTTTGCCTTTTAACACCATACAGTAACCGGAACCCTCTACTTTGTGTGGCCCTTGGTCGTTGTATTGAATGAACATAATTGTTTTTATTTTTTTTAAAAATAAAAAAAAAAAAGTTTAATTTTGGGAACTGGTTTCATCTGTCTGGTTCGTTCTCAACAGACGAACACTTCTGAGATCCTTCCAACTATCCTGGTGTCGTCTATGAGTTGAGAGATGGGTATTATTGTTGGTCTACCTCATGTTTTTTTTCCCTTTAATTTACATTCCATATTCCATGTTTAATTTTCCAACAGTGGCCTCTAAACCGCACTCGCCTTTTACAGACTGTCTTTAAACTTGTTAGTAGTTTGCCATATCATTCTTCTCTGGACATATGTTTCCAGCTGATAGTGAGTGCTGCTCTCCATAGTCAACTGTACACATACTATCTATATTATTATTATTATTAATTTTTTTTTTTTTTTTTTGCTAGTAATTTTGTTAATGTCCAACTGCTTGACCTTTAAGAGGACTGTTTGACCTAAAGAGTTGCATTTTCGGGCTTTTTTTGTATTTGTCTTTTAGATGATGTTCATTTTTATAGTCTTGGCCATACTATTGCTATTCTAACATCTGTATCTTTTTGTGAGGAGTTCAACAACCATAATCCCAGATATGAAAAATCATCCACTTGATTTAGAAGATTGTCACCTTTTAATGATTTCTCCTGTTTGATTGAAGACGTGAATTCTGCTTTAATTTCATTTCTATGGAGCCCAGCCTGTGGTGCAGCTGATTCTGATCTGAGAATAAAATAGTTGTTTGTTCAAGAGTGTTGGATACAAGAGAGACCATCTGCATAATTGGTGTCGGTGATTGTGATTTCAGAGTATCAACTACTTCTTGCTTCTTTTAAAGTAAACTCAAAGGTCTACCTGTCCTTAGTCTTCATCTCCTGTTTAAAATTTACATTATGTAAAAACAAAAAAAATCTACACATATTCTAATCATAGTATTATTATATTCATAAGGGTGTTAAAATGTTGAATTTTAATCATTGATTCATTGTTTTAATTTTAGTTGACAAATCCTGAATTAAAGACTCAGAGAGATGTTATTATGTACCGCGCCTACATTGCTCAGAGGAAATATGGAGTTGTGTTGGATGAAATCAACTCCACTCATCCACCTGAGCTTCAAGCTGTTAGAATGTTGGCAGATTTTTTAGCAAATGAAAATAAAAGGTCAGTAGATGCAAATATGTCTCACTCTTAACATTTTCAATATTTGTAACAATAAGAAGCTCTCAAACAAAACAGAATCAACATATTACTGTCAAGAAGAATAGTGCATCAATTTACAAATTTTGAACCATATATAATCTCCCTAGTTTTTAAATACTGTATATACTTGTGTATAAGTGTACTTCATGCATAGTGCGACCCCCCCCCTGAATTTTTTTATGAAAAATCCAATTTTTTTAATATAGTGTATAATATGACCTGAGCTTCTGAGCAATACAAGTAGGCTAACTGTAGTCAAATATTGCAGTACTAGGCATCATCCTGAATATATTTTATAGCAAATAAATTATCTTTTTTGTATCATAATTAATTTATACCTGTATAGTTAATAAATGCTCAGTAATAAAAATTATTTTTTTGGTGTATCATAAATAATTTCTTGTAGCATGTACCATAATACTTTGTGTATAATTTATCTATGAATAGTGGGATATGCTTTCATAATGCTTCTCAATTTTGTTGATTCCTGTTGATATTATTGTATACCATAATGAAAGCTACTAGAATTAAAATTCATTTAGTATTTCACGCTGTATATTCATCATTTACCATATATTGTAGTGCATATTTTAAGAATATGTAATGAGAAATAAAAATAATACTAATAAGTGTAAAGAAATATAAATGAATGGAGAAAGACAGAATAAGGATCACAACTGAAACATATACGGTGTAGATATGTATTGAACAAAAGAAGTGCTATTAGAAAAGCAATACTTCGGTAATATAAATACATGTGAATGAAGATGAACACTAATTTGGTGAAAGGAAAAAAAAAACATTGTTAATTCTTCATTTAGATAAGGTATTTGTAGACTTTAAGCAGCACACACAGTGAATGACGTTCTGCTGTAGCAATAGAAAGAAAGGATGAAGGCTATAGGAGGCAGGCTAAAGGCGCTTACCTGTATCATTAAGGTTAGCGGAACGTGCCATGAGAATTTAGGCCTACCAGGTAGAGTACGCTCACCCAAAATGCATGATTTTTAACCTCTTCAAAAAAAAAAAAAAAAAAAAACCTGTATATACTGTGACCCCCCCCCCTTTTTATGTAAAAAAATTGATCATAAAAAACTCACACTATACTCAAGTATATATGACAAACTAGCATGATTTTCTGGCTTTTAACTTGAGATTTTTGTAAATATGCAAGATTACCTGATACATCCATAGAAAAAATTGTCTTAGTCAAATTTTAAATAATATTAGAAAGATTAATGAGATTACTATAAAATTGCCTTGGCACAATGTTAAATCTTTATGAAAAAAAATGGTTTTAGATGGATTTTGTACAACCAACCATAAGTTATTTTTCCATGTATATGCATATAATTTACAATATATATGTAAAATTTGAGAATTAAACTTTTTATTCATTTAGGGTTTGTTTTTTCTTTTTTTTTTTATTTATTTTTTTATTTATTTCTTTTTTTAATGAAAATTATTTAATATTTATTCAACATCTGAGGTTTCTAAGTTTTTGTTATTTATAGAGCATGAAACAAACATTAATTTAAAGGATGACTTGTTAATTTATGTGGATTATTACTTTTAACTAACTATTATTTCAAACTGCTGACTATTTTCTCTTTCAGAGATACACTGGTCCATGAATTAGATGCCAAAATGAGTGGCAATATTGATGTCAGTAACAGTACATTCCTGCTTATGGCAGCATCCATATATTTCAACTATGATGTAATTTTTCAATTTTATTTTATTTTTTTAATCAAGGGATAACATTAATAACTTGTTGGAATAGAATTGTTTTATTATATTTAAACAAATGTTAACTACATTGCAGGATTTATATAATTATAGTCACTTTGTTCATTTACTTATAGACTGTTTTTCTCATACTTTGTTTATATATTACATTAATGACATGTTTTTAAAAAAAACAACCCAAAATTATGCCTTTTCACTTGTTTTCTGAAATCATTTTCAGATTGTAACATATCTTAATTGTATTTTTTCATAAATTTTGAAAACTAAGTCTTTATTAAAAATCAATAATTATCTCCCTTTAAATTTTATTTTTTTTTATTGAAGCTTTCTTGAAAAGCTCTAGTGCAAACAACCCAAGATTAGTAAAGCATTTGACAAAATTTCAATGTTTTGTTTTGAAGCTTAATACATAGGTTTAATTTTTTATTTTCCACAGAATTATGATGCTGCTTTGCGAGTTTTGCATCAGTCAGACTCTTTGGAATGGTAATATACTTATTCATCAATTATTTTCTTATAAAAGTGAATTGCAAATTAATTTTGTTGATATTGGGGGGGGGGGAATTAATAAAACAAGTAGGAATATTTCCTGCATTTTCTCTTTTTAATTTTCAAAATATTTTTAACATAAAATGTATAATATTGAATTTATTCTCATTTTTTAAAAAAAATATCATTAACTAAATTTGATGTATTATATAGAATTTCATGCTTATTCTGAAGACATATTTTTTATATTAGCCTAAACATAAAATTAGGTACCACCACGAGATCGCTAAAAAAAGAGTATAGCATGATGTAAAAGACTCCAAACTTGACGAAAACAAAATTTTATCTAAATGTTTATTTATAAGAGGAAAGATCAAAGTATTTGGGGGGTATTTTTTTCCATTTTTTAATCGTTCTTAGCACGTCTGAAATTTTCGTTAAAAATCTTTTTTCTTTTTTTTTTTTTTCAATCAGCAAAACTGACCATTTTTTTTTTCCATTTTATAAAAAAACTGGAAATCTCACTTTGAAATTCTTTTAAATATCAATTATCATTTTTTCAAAACTTATTTTAAGAAAATCAGAAATTATAATGTTTATTTAAAATATTTTGAATCAAGCTTATCTTTTGCGCCGAAAAGATGTAATTTGAAAATAAAACAAAGCAGGTCATAAACTTTCACGTCACTTGACAGATGATGAATGACATATTGATGGATTCCATGAAGCTAAATTGTTCTACGGAAGGAGAAAAGTGAAATAATTTACGTTTAAGTGAACAAATTATTTACCTTGTTATTTTTAAGGAAAACTTTCAGCGCTATAATTTTTTTTTTTTGTACTTGGCTTTCACCTTTATGTTTACGATGCTTTATGGAAAATATATTCTAAAGAAATTAAAATAAGACTGTTAAGAGTGACATTAAATTTCATATTTCATAAGGAAGGTATCTAATTAATTTATACGTACCTTTCTTATGAAATTTTATCAGAAGTGTACATAAAATACTATAATTTTATGTACATTTATTACATTTTACTGTTATTTGTATTTCCATTCATTTTATTATTAATTTTGATATTTCATTTATGGAAAAATGTCATAAATGAGATTAATATAAAAATAAGATCATATAAATTTCATAAGATGATACTGATACTTGTAGGTACACTTCTCAGTTGAAATTGAAAAATCAAATTAACTTCTCCACACGTGTTTCACAAAAGTAAAGGCCTTAACAGTGGAGAACAATGTTTAACTCAAATAACGCAACTTAGTTGTATTCTGGTTGGCCTTCTGTACTTTATAATTACAGCCCGATTATAAACACAAAATAACATTTTTTAATTACTGCGGATCTTCTGATTAGTCAAAATGAAATAATTTACAATGCGCTAAAAAAAAAAAAGATCTATCTCCTAAGGAGACTTAGGAAACCTGATGTGGCTTTTAACTAATTTTCTATTTTAACAACTTATATGTAAAAATCTATTATAATTAAGAAATAACAAATAATTGTATTCATTTTTCATTGAAAAAAATTTTTACTTTCAAAGAATATTGTCCATATTCATAAAAATAACTAAAAGCAAATAAAAGCATTTGAAATTAAATAATATCTTTGTTTTATTGAGTTTTGTATGTTACAATTCGGAGCTGATTTTCAGGTGGGTGGGGGTGTCCAATTAAAAACAAAAAAAAAAAAAAAACATGATTTGCATTCCTCAAAGCCTTGTGCTTTTAACTATTGTAATCACTAAACCTGATGTGATCGAATTTCTAGCGTTTTCATAAAATTAGTTATGGGGGTGGGTTATAAACATTTAAAAAAATATTTCTGCCATGACTTTAATAAAAAAAAAAAAAAACATAATTTCGTTCATCTGTGAATAGTTCCTGAAAGTTTCATTAACATCTGACAATTATTTATATTTTTGCAAGATTTTCCAAATTAATGTGTGTCATACCAAAAAAAAAAACGTGCTAAAAATTGTCTGTGTTATTTACTAGTTCCGCTGATACAAAGAGAAACAAGGTGTTTTTTTTTTTTTTTTTTTTTAATCAAAATTTAGAAGGAAAAAGTTTAAAAAATAATTAAAATAAACTTTGGTCTTTCATCTTAATAACATAAGCATTTAGACAATAAAATTTTGTTTTCGGCAAGGTTGGCATCTTTTTCATCAAGCTATGCTCTTTTTTTTAGTGATTTCGTGAAGGTACCTACATAAAATGCATTTGAATTTTTCTAATGTTTTAAAGATGTTTCAATCTTTATTATAATATCATTCCTGTTTGTGGCTGCGTTTGTTACCATAAAACAACAAAAATTGCACATCACATTGAGATTTTTGTTAGTCAATAGCATTAAAATGCAATTACTTGAAGAATAAAGCAATTTACAGTTTAATTTGCAACTTGTATGTGTGTTTAAGAGCTGAAGAGAAAATCGTTTCAACATTGAAAGAGGAAAAGAAATGTAAAGATTATTAACTGTTGCATGAAAAAAAAATTTAAAAATTATTACATTCTTTTTCTATATAAATAAAAATATTTTACATTATGCTAAAAACATTTTCATTTTTCCTCTTTCATCATGAACATTTCTACACTTGAGTTAAAAAAAAACAAAAAAAAAACAGTTTTTTCTAAATTTTAAACCTCTGTTCAAAAATCATTTAATACTAAACTCTTGCTGATTAGGAATTAGAAGTAATATGGGTAAATAGCAAGACAGACTGAGTCCTATAGTCTTGGTTGTTGACTAGTCTAGGAGAAGGAAAACTCTGAATTCAAACCAGCCTGGAGATGGTTGGACTCTGTCAGGCTATCTTTCCCAAAGTACACTACTGCTACTATGACTGCTGTACATGTATACAGGAAAATGTATGAAAAGCAAAGAAAAATCTTTAAACACAGCTCTACAAATATAAATAATTTTATTATGAGTATAAAAATAATCTGTTTTCTTTCAAGTTGAAAGAAACAAGTTACAAAGTTCCTTGCAAAGTTAAAAAAATGTTGTGTTAGTATAAGTGAAAGGTGGTATGTGAATGCTCAATGTGAAATTCACATATTTACATTGTTTTATGTATGTGTTAATGTGTTGTTTCCAGCACTCAGCCAAATAATCACTATATTATTACTACTGCTTTGTTTATCTATCTTGCTTGTATATTTTTCATGTTGTTTGAAATACTTTGAAAGTGAAAAATATTTGCAAGGGACTCAATAAATTATATGAAAGTTTGAGTATTCAGTATTGTCTATATTCCAAGTAGATTTATACTGAACAACTGAACTTAATAATTTATAATACAGTATTTATATGAAAAAATTGGATCACAGGAAATTAAAAGTTAGATTTACTAAACTCGGAAGTTTTATTGGTTAATAAATATATTTCCCAATATTTAATTTCAATTTTTAGGATGGAAAAGGTCATCATTTTATGTGTGATCTTTCAAATTCTTTTAGCAAACAACACAGAAATTGTCTGCTTTTTGAAAGTTTTAATAGTGTTTGAAATAACATCGCTGATTGGTTAAAAAATACTAATGTGGAAATTTGTATTTGGAGCTTGTGTGATCCTACTTTAGCACAAAAATGAGTTGATGCCTGTGAGAATTGAGATTTTAGTGATGTTATTTAAATCTATTGAATTTTTTTATACAATTTTTAATTTTTTTTACAGAACTGATCTTGAGAAGTAAAACTAAATTTTATATGCAGCCTAGCTAATTACAGAATAGTTATTTATTTAAATTACAAATAATTATAATGTCAATTCTACAAATACAAAGTGACTTGCCATTGAGCTTAAAAGTTTCCTTTGGTAGCATGTATATATAAAAATGTATATATAAAAATCTCACCTGTGAAAAAGAGTCCAGATGTTTCAATAAATCTTGTTAACATTGACTACCTGTTTCTGCTTTTTAACAAAAAATGTTTGGGAGTCATTATACTACTACAGCTTAACACATATATTTATGATAGTCCAGAAAGTGGTTCTATGGACAGTAAAATAGCTGTTTAGCTGAAATAAAAATCTTTTATTCATATTTGCATATAAATCAGGATAAAAAAAAACAAGTACAGTTAAAATGATATTCTACTGTTTTTAATTCTTGCATAATGTTTACCTTGGTTTGTGCATTTACAAACATTTTCTTTTGTAAAGTCAAAACTGTATAAAAAATTCTTTGAAATTTTTTTTTCATCTTGGCTTAGAGTTGGATAAAACCTGTTCATATAAATTATTAAATGAAAACTACTTATCAGTTGGATATGCACTATTTTCATAGCTTTTAAAAGTTTTGAGCCATACAAAGATCTTTGATTTCAAGCATTTATTTCTCATTTTGTTTTCTTAGTCTTGCTCTAACCATTCAGCTGCTGTTACGATTGGACCGTGTTGATCTTGCCAAGTGAGTATACTCTTTTGCTTTTTACCTGTCTAGATCTTGGCCAGTGTTTTATTTGCTCTTTCCTTTATATGCTCATTGAATAGGGCTTTGCCTTCCTAAAACAATACACCTGAAAAAAAAAATTTAATGATCAAAAAATAATAAAAAATTTAAATTGCATTAAATAGAATTGAGGTGCAGATTTTAACTGTTTCTATATAAATTTTTCGTTCATTATCTATTATTTTTTAATGTCAGTTACTTTTAAATTATAAATAAGTACTTATATTTTTATTAAATTTAAATGAAGCTATACTGTAACATTGGGTTGGCACTTCAATGTGGTGTAATGGTTAACAAGTTTGTCTTGCTAGATCAATTATGATTGAGTTTGATCTTCACTGGTGTTCCATACTTTTGGCCTTGTACCACATCTAAGCTTGGGTACTTGGACATGAAGTAATGGTTAGTGAGCTTGTTTCACTAGATCAATTATGACTGAATAGTAAGTTTGATTTTCACTGAATGCTCCTTAATCTTGGCCTTATACCATAACTTAGAAAATAACTATACTGTAACATTAGGTTTTATACTACTTATGGAGATACCTCCACTAATTTTCAATACCTAAAGTTTAAAATGAATTTTTAAAAATGAAAAGGCATTCTTGAAGCTTTCTCTTTAGTTTTAATTGAAAGCTAAATGATTAAATTTACCATTTCCAGTAAACAAAATATTCTGGTGCATTTCAAATAGAAATTATATTGATTAGAATCAGAATTTTTTGGTTCTTTCAGTAAAATTTGGTCATTTTTTGACACATTTGTAAACAAAAGATAATTCTGTTTTAAAAATCTTCCAAAAATATACTTTTCTGAAACTTTGAGGAATATTAGCTGATTTAAAGTATAATTCATCTGATTTGAAAAAATATTTACTTTGTTTGAAATAACAGAAAAATGGATTTTTAAAACAGAGAGGATTACGTGCTTGTCACCGCTCATTAATCATGTAACAAGTGCTGATAAATGTGTCAACTCTTCTTGTTCTATGGAGACTTTATCTGTTAAAACATAATTTAAGAAAATGACTGGTGATTGCCTTTTTTATATAATTTTTAAGTAATCTTAAAAATGTTGTAATCTAATTTTAGAAATGTTGACTTTAAATTTACTATAGTCATTGCTCTTGTTCCCTGATAATGTTGTGTATGGTCAACCATACTTTCAAACAGGGGCATGTGACGTAATATTTTATATACAATAAAAAATTAGAAATTATTTTAAAAATCCTGGTTGAAAATAATTTGTATTAAGCTTTTTGGAGCAGATTTTTGGAAAATGAGTAGTAGTTTGAAAAAAAACAAAAAAAAAAACTGATGATTTACATTCTCCAAGAGTTCCTCTGCTTTTAACTAATAAAAAACTAAATTTAATTTCTCAATTTCATGATATTAAGTGGTGGGGTAACATGTCTTAAAAGAAAAAAATATATTTTTACCAAGATTTTCTAAAAATAAAATTAAAAAAAAATAATTTAATTCATTTCTGAATAAGTCCTGAAAGTTTCATTAAAATCCTACAATTATTTGATTTTTTGCAAGAATTTCAAAATCAATGTGTTCTTCACCAGAAAAAAAGCACAAAGACACTAATTGTAAATATTACATTGATTGCTGATGCAAAAAAAAAAAAAAAGATTTTTTTTTTTTTAACCACAATTTCGAATGTGCTAGAAAGGATTCAAAAATTAATAAAATAATAAAAAAATACTTTATTCTTTCCTCTTAATAATAACAAACATTTTGACAAAACTTTGTTTTTTATTAAGTTTTGGGCCTTTTTTCTCATGCTATACTGTTTTTTCAGCAAAAACAAAAGTGGAGGTACCTATAATTGCAGACTTTTTAAGTAATATTTTTCATTCTTTCATCAGGTCTGCTTTATCTTTCTCTGAATAGACAAATTTTTGTATTGCTTATTCCTAAATTGTTTTTTAAACTTTAAAATCATTCTTTCTTTCTTCAGGAAAGAGTTGAAGAAGATGCAAGATACTGATGAAGATAGCATTCTAACTCAATTGAGTTTAGCTTGGTTTGACCTGGCTGTAGTAAGTTATCAAGTTATTTGATGCCTAAATGTATTTTTGTTTTTACAGATTTTGCTTGTAAATGAATTCACTAATGGCAGTATGTACATGGTATAAAATTAGGTGCATTGTTTTTCCACCAGTTATAGTAGATATGCCATTTGTTATTCATAAATATTAACTAATCTGGAGTAAACAAGAAAAAATACTTATCTTTAATTAAATAACTGTTAGATAAGTAATTTGCAAATCTCATTCATATTTACTAATTGTATTTTCTTTAAAACCTTCATTGTTAATTTATCTGATAATGCTTCTTCCTACAAATGATTGTAATCTGCAATTAAGTTTAATTAATTTAATTAATAGACCCTTGAATGTTAATCATGTTAAGTTACTGAGAGAGCAAATGTTAAAAAAATTAAAAAAATATTTTCCTAGAGACAAGGTAATGAATAATGGCAGGCAGAGGATATGAAATCTTATCTCTGAATAATTCCTGAAAGTTAATATTTTTGCTTAGTATATGACCTTGTTCAGTTCCACCTGGAAGAAATTATTTTCATGAAAATGTTAAAATTCTTAAAAAACAATAAGCAGATAGTGAGGAGAAACTAAAGATCAGGAAAATCCAAAAGCTTTTGTAAGATTTGTGTATTTAATTCTAATTTGAATAATTTACTTTTATGAATGTTGCTTTTACTTACAGGGGGGTGAAAAGTATCAGGATGCCTATTACATTTTCCAAGAACAAGCTGACAAGCATGCTGCTACACCTTTGTTACTTAATGGTCAGGCAGCCTGTTACATAGCACAAGGGCATTTTGATGATGCAGAGTCGGTGCTTCAGGAAGCTATGGATAAGGTACAATTTACAGCATTTATTTCTTCTTATGCTGCAATAGATTTCTGCAAATCCACCTTTGAAAATATCTTGGCTTGACTCACTTCCCCAATACAGACTAAATGTCAGATTATTTTTCTGAAGAAGGGCTTCTTGGTCAGGCTGAACCTGTTCAGCAGCCTCTTGTAGCAAGAGAAAAATATCCCCATTTCACAAATTTAGATTCATATCTTTACTGATATGTTTTTCAATCTTTGGGTTTATGTGCATGGGTGGTGTAATGGATAGTGGCTCGGAATGAGAAATCGATGCCAAGTTTCAATTCCAGTTGTGTTCATTGCATTCACTTATGCAAAGTATCAATCTATTCTCCCCCAGCTATGGGTTAAATAGAACTTGTATCTGGAAAAATCATTATTTCTCAAAAAAAAGAAAAAATTCTTACAAGCAAAATATATTTCAGCTTTAAATTACCCACAAGAGGTTGATAAGCCATAAAAAAAAAAATAAATCGATCTTCAGGTTAATGTTAAATTATATATCCTTGAATGCCAAACTATTAATTATCTGGGCTTTTTTTCTCCTGGAAAATTCTCATAAAAGTGGGGGGGGAAAAAACCCCAAAAACAATGATCATTCATACAATAAGCAAAACCCAATGCCTATGTTTTATATGGAAGATCTTCTTAAGCACTAGCTTCCATATAAAAATTCCATTTTAGTTTCGTCTGTTGACCCAATGTGCATGTGTTACTTTCTTCACCAAATATACTTCCTGGTTTTGATGTTGAAAATTTTTCATCTCAACCCACTCCTCAAAATCTGGGCATGAACAAATTTTATTTATTTATTTTTCCCCTCTCCCTAAAGAAAAGCTTTTTGGGGTTAGGCCGAAAACTTTTAAGCACCTCTTATATTTTAACCTTATTCAAAAGAGGACAATATATTCTTTTTCTGTTCTTGCCTCAGATTATAGAGCTTTTCAATAAATACTTTTTCAGTCAAGTGACAAACAAATGAAGAAATGTAATTATTTGATGACATTTTTTTAAGTCTCTATTCTCATCTATAAAATGTGTTGAGAAAAGTTGCAAACTTTAAGGAAAACTAGTTTCTTCTTGGATTTAATACTGGCTTGTCTCGATCTATCAATTTAAGTTATACAACTTTGTCTTTTTCAGGATAGCAATAATCCTGAGACATTGGTGAATATGATTGTCTTGACACAGCACCTGGGCAAGCCACCAGAGGTAAACTGCTTATTATATTAATTTTTTATGTGCTGCAGTATACATTGTGTGTGTGTGTATGTACGTTTTAATATATACAATTAAAAACAAGAATATTAATTAGTTTATTTTTTGTTTTTCAAAGGTCAGTAATCGCTACATCTCCCAACTGAAAGACTCTCATAAGAATCACCCATTTGTTCTGGATTACTTGCACAAGGTTGGTTTGTTAATGTAATTTTTTTTTTTTTTTAACTTCTGTGTTTTAGTTTAAAATTGATCTTGAGAATAATGTTCATATTTTTAGGTTTTTATTGGCTCAATAAATAAAAAAAAATTCCTTATTTATAAATTTATGTTGGTAAGATGGAAATTGTAAATACCATAATGAATTATAGTTTGTCATAAATAATAAAAGAAATTAAGATAAATTTTATGCTTATTCGTCATTAAATTAATGTATTTTTCTGTTATGATACTAAACGTGTTTTTTTTAATAAGCAATAAATTTGGTAGTACAAAATTGTAATCTTAGTTTGATGCCATTCTTTTCTAACTGAAAAAAAAAAAATCCTGCTGGTTGAAGACTGATAATTAAATTTTAGAATATTAATCAGATAATGTATAATTCATGAGATTGTTGCATTATTATTTCAGGAAAATGAATTTGACCGTTTCTCAAGGAATTATGCTCCATCCATTTCTACTTGAATACAATTACAATAGGTAAGAGAGGAAATAACTCTTTATAATTTAGAAATGATAAAAATTTATTCCATTTCTTCAATAACTGATGTATTTCACTAGGGTTTGCAAATAAAGTGTTTTCTTGACTTCAGAAATTTCAGTATATGATTTAACTAAATCAATAACTTGATTGTTTTCATATAAAAGAAATATTTAAAAAAAAGAATATATTTTCCTCTTTTAAAAAATATTTCTTATTTTATTATAGGAATCTGATTATGTGGAATCTCTAAAGAACGGCATCATTTCGGTTCCATTTACCAGTTGAATGATTACACTTAATGTCACTAATACATACTTCGTCAGTTATCTCCCTTGGAAACATGTATCGTCTTTCATATTTTTATCATTATATATTAAAAAAAAAAAAAAATTTGAGAATATGGGAAAATTTCAGAAAAATAAAAATAGCTTAACTATAACCTTTTTGTATTTGATTTTGTACAGGAATCAGTATGAATATTTTTAATTTAAAGCAGCTGTCTGAATATTTTAAAATACAGACAAAAAAAAAAATTAAATTTGGCACACTTGAACTAATCATAGGCACATCCTCAGCAAACGTACATTTGAGTATCTCAAAAACATGTAGTTTTCAGAAAAAAATATCATAACCAACTTGGAACATGTTACAAATCCATCATATATATATATATATATATATATATATATATACACACACACACACACACCTTCCTCCATTTGATCATACATACGAGAATTTAAGTCCTTTCGAAAAACTTTGAAAATGTTACTTAAGGATGCTTTCACTTGTTTCATCTAATGATATGAGAGAGAGAGCGCGCCTATGATGATGATGATGAGTACTTTTATTACTGGCAGTATATCCTCCCAACTTTCAAAACCCTTACAGAAGCAGCAAATTTTCTCTGAAATTTATATTAAGTCTATCAATATGTAGTTGATTATTCTTTTATTTTAATGGATATACATATATACAGAGGGGGAAAATATTTGAAGTCAAAAAATATTAGAATAGTAAATGGATCAAAAATCATCATCAGTATCTTCCTCTTCCATTTCTGGTGGTTGGTGTCTTGTGTTGCCTTTCATTGGTGCTACTTTTGGTCGCACTGGCATCCTAAGGTCATCTTCTTCTTCATCGTCGTCGTCTATTTCCACTTCATCGTCATCATCATCGTCAAGATCTATGTCAGAATCTAAGCCAGTTTCCTGATTTAATAAATAAATTTTAATGATTAAATGATTAATTGGAAAATATATATGTAGAGAGAAAAGCACAAATACATTATATCCATTAAATAATTACAAAATTCATACCCACCTCATGATAGATAAATTTGTATAAAATTACATTGTGAGGTTGGATTAGTAAATGATGTGAACCAGGAATCTAGCAGCAAAATCAATTTTCATCTCGTGTACGAAACAAGTTATGAATTAAAAAAAAAAAAAAAAACACTAAGCCAACACTGGTTTTTTCACAACACGCTATGAAATGTGATATCTGTAATTGTAATTGTGTTACATTTCCCTGAATAAATTAAGCATACCAATTTTAAAAAAAAATAGTATAATACAATTAAATTTGTATATATTATTTTATGCAGAATCTATAACATTCTAAAATAAGAATGAAATTTTTAAATAAATGCTGTGACTAAATTCCATGTCACTAAAATATAAAGATTTAAGAAACAGCAGATATTTTTATATATATAGTGCTCAGTATTAAAATATTAAAAATAGTGTTAATGATATATGAAAAGATTACTTAACTTTTAAATATTAGTTTTATCTTGACATTGATGTTTCTTTGTAAAATTTCCAGTCTTCAGGAGGGTGTGGTTTTAAATAGTATTTCCATTATTTTTTTTATTTTTTTTTTTGAAATGCCATTTAAAACCACAACCCCTGACTGGAAAAATGCTATCCTTTTTCAGAAGAACTGAGAACCTAATATGGGTCTCAGAATACAAAGTAATTTTTATCTTATTCAAATGGCAAATTAAACTTACATCATCTGACTCGGCTCCAAACATGGACCCTTGTACTTGTAATTTTCTTTCATTATTAGTCAATTTAGCAGCTGAAAAAAAGAAAATATTTAAGTTGAAATTATGAAAACATTTACCATATCCTAATTGATGCTTTAATTTGCCAACTGCTTTTATTACTAATTCTCAGAGATTATATCTCTTTGATATTGATGCATATTGCTTTGACTTGGCAAAATTAAAAACAAATCCTCAAAGAACTGAGAGATAATATTTTGTTGACAATGAAGTCATTGATAAAAATAATCAAATTTACAAATATATTTCTGTTTTGTCATTTCTTATTAATTTTTTTTTTTTTTAAATAAAAAGTTGATTTTAATGGAAAAATAAAATTATGATCTAAAGAATTTTAAGAGAGGAAATAGTAAAAATGTGAATTTTTGAATAAAGCAACATGATTTGGCCAGATAATTTTATAAATTGAGTTTTCTGTTGATGTTTTTTTTTTTTTTTTGTCTCTTAATATTCAAAGTTTTATATATATATATATATATATATATATATAAATTTGTTTTCCTTTTCTATTAGAATGACAATCGTTAAATAAGGATTGTGAATAAGGAAATTACCTTCTGGTCTCATCCTGTTGTTGGTAGGACGAGTTTGGTGATGTAATTGAATACTGTCTTCTATTTCTGATTCACTATCCAAGGCATCTTTTAATTTCAATAAAAGTAAATTTTACAGATAAATATAAGAATGCTTTTAATGTTCAAAATGATAGGGATTTTTTTTTTTTTTTTCACTCCCCCACCCCTGGAAAAAAAAACAAAAAAACCAAGACAATAAAAATCACTAAAGTTGAGGCAGCTGCTTCCTTCAATCCTTTTTACTCTAAATAATTGTTTTGTGTTTTTAATCATTTCACTCCCAGCAATGTGATAATGCCACTAAGAAACAAGGGACTACTTGGAGTGAAAGAAAATGAGAAAACTTTAAAAGTAATTGGAAACCCAATCCTAAAAAGGAAAAGGGATAAACCTCTGCTCATGTTCAAAAGATAGGGAAGGAGTGTGATCTGGGCAATAGGTGAACCATTTATTGAATGTACCATAATTATATTATTATTGGTCTGAATTGATCACATTCAGCTTAAGGGTTATGGTTAAAGATTGGATAATTTTCTCAGCTTTCTACTGAATTTGATCTAAGATTTATGAGAGTAAGAATTTTACTCTTCTTTCCACACTGATTCTGAATAGTATTAGTCACTCATACTAGAATACTTAGTTGGTATCCTATCATCATATACTTAGCCTGCCATGGCACAAGTCAATAAATACCAATACCCAGTGATGACTGAGTTCCTAAAGCTAACTATTGCTCTATGTCTTGTGCTTTTGTAACGTGAAATTACAGACTTTTACCAAGTTTAAGATGTCAACGGATGCTCTTTAAAATTTACCTGAATTTCTACTGAATTCATCATCTTCATCAAGACTTGATTGCAAATGTTTCTTTTCTTCCACTCGCATCTTTTCAACTGATGACTGCATTGCAAACTGGGTTTCCTGTTCAAAATCGTATTAAAATCATGTTGTAAATTAAATATTCTAGACATTTTTGAAAACTATATAAAAATTACAATTTTTTTTTTGCTATCAACAAAATCAATCAAAAAGAAAAAAAAAAATAAAGAATTTTGTTTACAGCACTTGATATTTTTAAATGGCTATCCACTTGTGGGTTGGCAATATTCATTATCAGTTAAATCTGGCATAGCTACAAAAGTTGAAAAAAAAATAGACTTATTAAAACATAATTACAAGTAGCAAATACTGTAAAAGAAATTCAACTATTTTATGGCTTTTGTCATAAACTGTGTGTACGTCCATATTTAAATGTATAAACAATGATTGAGTGAATGCAGTAGATATTTAAAACTTATTCAGTTTATCAGAAATTAATAAAATGAATATATAAAAATAAAATGAAAACTTAGTAATAGGCTTTTCTGAGAATAAAAAAAATGATAGGTCAGATTTAAAATGTATAATTATATAACAGATATCCTGTAAATGACTGGATTTTTCTTGACATCCAGTTTTAAGGGATTTTTTTTGTCTGCATCTAGAATTAAATGCTTTTTCCTGAATTCCATATTTCTAAGAAAAGCCTAAAGTGTTTGGTATTACAATCTTGTATTTTACACTTATTTTTTTTTTCTATTTTTGTTCTGATTCTTTATTTAAAATGATGACCATGAGTCAGTCACTATTAAAAGAATACATAAGTATAATAAACTGCTTTGTTAGTAGAAAAGTAAAGAAAACTGTTTTTTTTTTTTTTTAAGGCTTCCTTGTTAATTAACACTGACTTGTGATAATCAGAATCATATAATAATTGTTGACAAATTACAAATGTCATATATAGTGATTTACTAAGTGTAGCTCAGATGTGGCACAAGGCCGGAGGTATGGAGCACCCAGTGCTGTTATACATTGCCAAATAAATATATTAGCATTGACTTGGATACTCCCTTTTTTCGGATTAAACAATTATACAAGGTATGGCTGAATGATAAGACATTAGTAACAATGGTGTTTTCATCTAACTAATGTCTTACTATTTATTAACATGTGGGAGGTATTTCTGCTACACTCTGTACTTCCAGAAAAAAATTTCTGAAAAACAATGTATTAACAATAGCAGTCTTGTTTGAGGCAACATTTTCATCAGTAACACTCAATAAAAACTAAGAGAATGATGCAAACTTTCTATAGTATAACAGTCAATTCTCTTGTTCAATTTCTGTGTGACTATTCAGGTTATATGGTTGAAGCATAATTCAGGAAATATGACTCAAAGAAACCTTGAATGTAAAAAAAAAAAATTAAAGAACACAGAGCATGAAAAAATTTCCATCCTTCAGACATTAGTTTTCAGGAAAGCATCATGCATTTGTGCTCTGTATTTAGTGAGTAGTCATCTCTATCTAAAAGATAAAAAATTAGCAAAATATATGAGTGATAAATTTGTAACATAAGCTTGCAGAGTGCTTGAAACTTTACTGCATGATTTGAACAGTTTGAATGCTTAATCTTCAGAATGATTCAAACATGGACAAGGCTACTGATTTATACAAAATTCTAAAAGAAGCCTCTAAATACCACAGAATGTTAATTACTATTAATTTTAGAATGTGATTCAACAATGATCTAATAACTTATATATACAATACAATGCCTTGTTCATTTGCAGAAAACAGCTATTGAAATCTGAAGATGCAAAGTACACTAGCAGATTGCTTGTCCTTATAAGAATTCCAAATGCAATAAACATTGCAGAAAAGACCATGGAGGAAACTGGTGTCATTTATAACAACACTCAAGATGATACAAGCTAAAATCTAGCAATCAGTTAAAATAAAGTTGTTAGCAATCCAAAGTTATAATAACAACATTGGAGTTTGATAGTGCTGCTGCTAAAAAAGAAAAAAGATTTCAACAAGCCTAAATAGTGTTCCAGTTTACCCCCACTATAGCACAAATGATAAAAACTAGGTTTTGGATGTTCCAGAGAGCAGCCATTTTGTTAGATACCTTTTTAAGTAATATCAACAAAAACATTGAAACAACAGAATATTTATTTTATTTTATTATTTTTTTTTCAGTTTTGTAAAACTTGATATTCCTGAACATAAAAATAAAATTTCATCAATCTTTTTATACAAACCTAAAGAATAAACCTTTTCATTTAACTGGCCCTAAATTTATATTCAAATTATTTAAATAAATAAAGGATTCTTTAATCAACATTATTTTTTATTGCTGTAACAGGGCAATAGCCCTGATGGAGTGCATAAAATATTGTTGAAAGACTTGACATATTGAGAGACTTAGTAATCCTAAGTGAACAACTAGAGATATTAGATGGAGAAAAATATGGGAGAGTGATTAATCGAGTTGGAACCTGATGAAAAAAAACGTTTGGTTTAAAAATATTAATTTGAACCTAAAATAAACCAAGTTAGATTCAGTAAAATCCAGTATAACTGAAATTCCCTGCCTAGCCACACATCCCCGAGGAAGTCATGATGATGTGATTGTGTTTTCCATAAGTTTGTTTATTTGGTACCTACTCTGCACAAATTATGTTGATTTTTATTAAAAAATCTGAAACAAGTGAACAAAAGTCCATGTCACATAATTCATCCCAGCAGGTATACAATGTAAAAGATTCCACTAGATGACACAAGATCAGTGAAGGTGACAAATGATGAAAATAAACACGCCCAATTTACACAAGCTTCTATGAACTGTAATAACTGGTATTATGATCACTGGCTAAAGTTTACATATGGCATACAGTGACTGGAACAGATGACTGTATTCTGTGATGTATCGATCAGGAAGTGACTATATCACATTATAAACATTATTTTAGTGGATACATGTGGGTTTTTTTATTATTACAAAACAGTGAAACTAATATCCAATTAATAAAAATTTGATCTCTGCTGAGAGGAACATTTTCTTTAATAAGATTTTCTATGTCTAGACTGGTGGACATTAATTTCACAGTTTGATATAATAAATCTTGTAATTTTATAACTTCACACTTAAGCTGTTCTTAAATAAGTCATATAATCACCGATAATGTTAGAAAATTACCTTAAATTTGTCCTGTTCTAATTTATTGTATTCTTCAAGTTGTTGTTCCAAGTAAGTGAGGTTACGGAATTTGATGATGTAATTTTCATAGACTTTCTCCAATTCTTGTTCCAGCCTTTCATATTCATCCATGTAGGCAGGCCTGAAGAAAATAGATAATATAAATAAATAAAATAAAGATAACAAAAATGTAAGAATTTGTTTAGTGGTATATCAACTACTTATTTGTCATTTAATGCCAAAATTTAATTTTCTTGGGAGTATTAGTAAATTCATTTACAAAAATGCATTGCTGATAGTAACTTTTTTTTTCTCCCAAAAATGTAATGCTGGTAATTTTTTTTTTTTTTTTTTTACTATAAAAATGTATTTTTATACTTTCATAGTGTTTTCACCTCAGTATGAGGTTAACTATTTGCCCATAGCTGGGACCCTAACAAGTACTACCACCACAGGTCAGGGTGGACTTGGGAACAAAAGCCAGTAAGAGGTGGTTCCATGCTCCTCAAAACCTCCTGATCAGGGGCATTACTGCCAGATGTAGTTTATCGTCATACCCAGAATGGTTGAGAATTAGTAATTTCAGTCTTTATAAGTTGTTTGGTTTCATTTTAACTTTTAGTGTTATTGACTATTTCTTGAAATAGCAGAATTAAATTGAAACATAGTTCAGTAACATTCAGTGCATTTTGAATTCTTCCAAGCTTACAACAGAGAATATTCAATTTTTTGTTTCTTTAAGAAAAATTTTTTAAAAATCATTCAGTAATATTTATCAAACATTTAACATTAAACTATCAAGATCATAATTTTTTTACTACTCAAAACTATACTGGGTACAGCTTTTAGGTTTATAAAAATAAAGCTCATTATTAAAAGTGCATATTAGATACAAAAATGTTTTAACTCAAGTTTAGTTCAAATTGTTTTGGTTTATTATTTCAAATCATTTTGTTTTATGAAGCTAGATAATTTTTTTTTAAAATTTAAATGCAAAAACTGCATTAACCATTTCTTATTCCCATAAACCTAGAAAAAGGATCAAATGCAAATTTGAATTTTCTCAAACTTTGCTCAGAAAATGGTTGGTTCTGTATGACTATATAATTTCTTCCTTCTTTTCATAAACAAATGATGCTCAAAAATGATCATTTTTCAGACAACAAAATGTCCTATCTCTAATCTAAAGACCAAATAAGATTGATTGATTTGGTTTTTATGGCTTATCAACACTTTTCAGAAAATATTTTTAGGTTGTACAATATCTTTTTGGAAATAATAATGGTTTTAGTGATACAAGTCTTACTAATGAACCCATAATGGCAGGGAGAAGAGGTGTATTCACACCTTTCCCAAATATATTTGCACATAAGTGAATGTAATGAACCCAATGGGAACAAATCCAAGCCATTATTCATTACACCACCCACACATTCAAGCTTAGGGCACCTGATATTCCCAATTGGTCACCCATTGAAGTACTGACCAGGCTTGATGTTGCTTTACTTCAGTGATTGCATGGGAACCAATGTTTCAGCATGATGTGGCTGTAAGCCAAATAAGACTGAACTCTAAGCATATACCATATATACTTGAGTATAGTGCAAGTTTTTATGAAGTTTCTTTTTTTTTTAACACAAAAAATAGGGGGTCACACTAAACACAGGTAAATTTTTTTTTAATCATGCGTTTTTACTGACCGTTTACACTATACATAGGTAATTTTTTTTTCTGGAGGAGTTAAAGTTCATGTTCAAAAATTCGGGGGTTGCACTATACATGATGTTATCTTATACATGAGTATATACAGTAAATAAGCTTTAAATGTGTTGCATTCCTATTTTCTCCACTTGAAATGTTTTAATTGGTCAACTGGTATAGTGTAAAAAAAAACAAAAAAAACTTGAAAACATCTTTGGTAAACCCTACTACTGAAACAAATCTCATGAAAATAAAGATATAGGCAAGTATAAATACCCGTTTATTCCACAGTTAAATGTCAATGCTTCAAAAAAAAATATGCTTAGCATAAAAAGACTTGTAACAGATGCTCTGTGTTTTGTGATCACCTAAAAATTACCAACTAAAAAAAAAAAAAATTTTGATCTCAACAATTCACTGAGTAGCAATATTTTTCATCTCCATTAAATGGAAAAATTCTTTTTAAAAATTTATCAATAGGTTGGAAAAAAAAAAGTTCAAGTTTAAAACAAAAGCTTAATTTTTACCTGACATTTTGTAATGTCTGAAGCCGTTTCTTATTTCTGTCAAGTTCAGTTTTCCGTTTTTCAATTTTGTTATCCAATGTAGTCTCATCAGAAGCAATATTTTCCAACATAGACATAGTTTTCTGGATCTCTTGCTAAAAAAAAAAAAAAAAACATCTCAAAGTTTTTTTCTTCTTCTTTAATCTTAAAATGATGATTATGCTATAATTATTATTTTAAAATAACAAATGATATTGAGAGAAATTTTATCAATTCTTTACCTGTACAATTTTCACAGATGAGTCAATTCCTTTTTCAACTTCAACAATCTCTAGAGGACGGGCAATGACAAGTGATCGGCTTTCCTGAAAACAAGCAAATTATAATTCTTTCAGTTTATATATCTTTACTAATACTTAAGTACCAGTTATCTATCTATCTATATGATTACATTGCATATAATCTTGCATAAAAGACTGAACAAAATCCAATGTCTCTTGCATGAAAGACTGAGCAAAATCTAATGTTCTCATAAAAATATAGTAGATTGACAAGGTAATCACTGTTAAATAGTAAAAGAAAATTGGTGAAAAATGAAAAGTTATCTTTTATTATTTTTTTTATTTTTAAACACGGCTTTGATTGGTCTGATCATCCTAAAAGGACTTTAGTGAGATAATATATTTTTCTTTAACATAAAATAAATATCTTACTCTTAAATCAGCCTCCTTTGTTAAAAGGTCATAAAGTGTTGCTCCTTTTGTGGTGATTTCAGAGGCCAACTTCCGGGCTTCCTTCATGTCAATAATCTGAATAGAAAATTACACATAGATCTGAATACTTGAAACAAGTTCTTTTCTATTTTGACACAAGCAAAAACTTTCTAGAATTCTCTCCCTTTCTGAATGAAAGCGGTTGACCAGTAAATTAAAATAATGCTTCTATAGGTGTACATAAAAGTGACAGAGTAGAAAGAAGAGCCTCAGTCCAAAAAAAAAAAAAAATTAAACAAGATTCATTAATAGATAATTGTTTTGTTGTTTTAATTATGTATTCCATTGTTGGGCAAACTTGGACCTTTGTGCCCACAAAAAAATGGTGCATCAAAAGGACAGTTTTCCATTGGCAATGCTATTATTTTAACTACCTTTACTCCTCGGTAATGTCTACTGTTTTAAAAAGCAATGATTAGAATTGTAATAAAACCTAAACATATGAAAGTGAATTTATAGATGTTATTTTTTGGTTCTTGAGAATTTACAACAAAAATATTAAACACTTTTTATTCATTAGATTGTTTAATGTTTATTTACAAGAATAACTTTATATTTACAAACTTCTAAAAACTAATACATTTGTATTAAAACTAATGAAACGCAATATTTAACATTTACCAATCTATAAAGAAATAAATAGGAAAACAATTTTTTATTCATAAATTTATAAACATTTACTTAATTATTAGAATACTAGCCTAGAAGGAGTTCATGTTAGCTCCTGCAGAGGGCTTTTGTGCCTTTGGCACCTTCAGTGTCCTATGTATGTAAAAGTTATAATTTGGAAATAATAAAATTATTTTATCTTTATTTGACACCTTAATTCAACACAATCTTTCTTTGTATACACAACCTCTGTAGCTTGTTTACATTTACTTTGTACACAATTTTTGTTTTCTTTTAAAATCACCATTCTTTATGATCCCTTCACATAAAGTCACTCTTAAAAGACATTAGGGAACCAAACTATTATATTTTTAGAATACGTCACAGTACGCGTGCTAGAAAAAGAAAAAAAACATTTGAGCAACATACCATGCCTCGCTTAAGTTTCAATTACAGTTTAATTAGACAATTACAATTGTGACAAAAAGTGAAATTAAAGTTAAACCTTTAATAAGGAATTGTATTTTTTAAACCTTTCATTCTGTTCAATATTTAAATTTAACTTTAAATGAGTCATTGCTTTTTAAAACAATAAACATTGCTGAAGAGTGAAAGTAGTTAAAATAAAAGCTGTGTCTCATGGGAAAAACTGTCCTTTTGACACACTTTTTTGTGATCACAAAGTTCCATGTTTTCCCCAAATAATTTTATTATAGAAATAGTAATTAGAAGTCTGCAGATTAAAGTTTCAATAATTTAGGCATGATAGGTTGCTTGAAGCAAATTTGTGTAAGCGTTCAAATTTACCATTATCTTCTTTTGTACTTATGCTGTCTATTTTATAACATAAAATACTGAATATTTCCCATCTTCCAAGCTTAAGTCAATAATTTAGTGATAATTTCTGCCATATATGACTCACCTCAGATGATGCCAAAAGAGACTTTACACTTGGTGTCTGTCAGCAGGTTGACCTGAGAGATGACCTCCTAAACACCAGGTACAGATTTACACATTCACTGAATATCATTGGCTGTAAACAGGTGTCAATGGAAAAAACATCTTTTTGTGGGCCATTGTTGCTTATTGGAAGTGTAAAGACCTTTGTCCCTTTTTGAATAGGTGATGTTCCTCATTGCTAATACTATATGTGTAAGCTCTGTGGATTCATATTAACTGACTCTCCTGAAAACTATCTAAGGATCATGTTAATGCATTCACTATCTCTGTTGGTTATATATTGTCTTACTAGCCATCTCCGTAACTCTTCATTGAGTGAGGAGGTGATACCTGACAAAATCTACCCAAGAATTTTTAACCCTTGGTAATTGTCATTGAAGAGACAGAATAAGTTTAATGGTATGACCCTAGTAGAAACTTAGTCAATACCTAAATTGATTTGATCAGTACAATGTTTATAAAGAACACATAATATTGAAAAGATTAAGATATGCATAAGACATACTTATTCACGAGAAAAGAGGACAGAGAAAATATTAATCAATAGAGTTTTTTTTCAAAACAAGTGATTAAATTCTATTCTTTTCCTCCTAATATTTGATTCTCATAATCAGCAATAAACATTAAGTAACTATTTCTTCTATAAAAAGACTAGGCAAAAACTTAAGCCTTGTACCACAAGTTTTTATTATGCCTTTACATTATTTGATCCTATTTAGAGAATTAAGATCATTCTTACCTTGGAAGAAATATCAAAAGTAAGCGAACTTGACTCATCAGCATCCATGTCATCCAATGATCCAATACTGTTGGTCTTCATCACATTGTACAAAACAGATGTCACTTTGAGAAGTTCTTTGACAGCATAACCATCAGCTTGGTATAGTTTTTTGCTATTTAGTTTGATATGAGCTTTTGTTGCCTAGAAAATCATAACATATATAATTTTTAAATACAACAGCAAATAAAAGAAAAATTCCACCTGGCTTGTATTATATTGTCTTTACAATTGCAAAAAATGTTTTACATTAATAATTAATAAAATTAATTACTATTTAATTATAATAGCTACAGCAATATTGCTCTCTGTATTTCCTAATCAGTTAAATAATATTAAAAACTGTATTTATTTACTTTGCAATAACTTGGAGAAAAAAAAACACAGTTTTGAATAAATTATTTTGAACTTCAATAATGTCTTTTCACTCAGGCCAAGAATATCAATCATTTAAGCACTAAATGTCTTATTTCCAGTTAGTCACAAAAAAAAAAAAAAAAATTAACACTTCATTTCGCATTTTCTTCAGTAAATTTATTTGCTTTCTTCTTGTAATGAAAAGCAATTTTAAAAATTGTAATAATTTTACTAAAATACATTGACAAGATTTCATGAGAAATTCTGGGTATCAATTACATCATTATGAAAAAAGAAAAAAATTGAACTTTGAATGTTTACCATTTGTCCTAAAGCAATTAATAAAACAATCAAAATAGAAAAAGCTGAAATACTGTAAGTTAACATGAAAGCAGAATTTTATAGCTGCTATGTAAAGGGTCATGGTCTTTACTTGATTGTTAGCAAAAAGTTAGATGAGTTAATGTCTTTACTCTAGCAACCCCTTAAATTAATTTCATCATTCTTAAATATTTAATGACTATGAATTATGATAATCCTTGCATTTTAGTATTTGAAAGAAAATCATGACATTATATCTATCAAAAATAGAAAAAGAATTGTAAGTAACTATATAATTTGGTACTAACATAGTATAAAATGTCATTAAAGTATTTTTTCTGAGTTAGTATGTATTTCATACCTATAAAGCAAAATTAATCTCATGGAGTTTACTGTACTTACATGAAGTCCTGTTTTATTCATTAAAATAGAACTCTTCAGTTAAAATGTTGAATTATAATGTCTTCTTGAATTAGAAATTAAAATTCATTTCTAGACTCTTTTAAAATCAATGTTTAGCTGTTAATATATTGCAAAAGAAATTTTGCAAATCTGATTACATCCTTAAAATTTTTGTCATCCAATGAATTGTTCCAAGAAGTTTATTTTTGGTCTCATTTTTGGATATTGCATAAAAAGCATGATGAAGATCAGTTAGCATCTAAAAGAAGTCTCTTTATTATATATATATATATATATATAATTTAAAAAATCAGATGAGTTGAATCCACTACCTTGGTTTCAACCTTACTATATCCTCAGGTAATTTTTATCAAATGACTTCACACTTTTTTTTTTTTTTTTTTTAAACTAATGAACGCTATATTAATTGTTTTTTTTTTTATATTATATTTGTATTATCAACGAGTATGTTGTGGATGGAGTTTAGTAGGTTTCCACATGTATCTAAATGAGACCTAATTGAACTATGGTCAGAGAAATGTAACATGGGTCTTCTTGTTAGGCATGTTCTAGTATATCCAATATAATTATTTATAAATTTGGCTTGATCAGACACACAGTTCCTTAAAGGACGTTTTTAATGAAACTTATATATACTTGTTAATTTTTGCTTTTTCATTGTAGTTTTTTTTTTTTTTTGACTGTCCAGAAATTTACCATAAATTCTGTAATCGATCGAATAAACAATACTCGATCTTGTTGCGTATCTGTATCAGGATGAATAGCTGCATTAGGCTCGTACCTGAAATATATGAATAGAAATACCAAAGTAAAATAAAAGGGGCGACAACTCCGTAACATTCTTTCTTTCACATTTAACACAGTGATAACTAGGCTTACTGTTAAGTCATTTTCGAAGATATGTCGGTTTTCCTTAAATATTATATGAAAAAATAAGACTCGCCGTAGGTTGTTTTACTGGAGTTTATGTCAGTCACTAAAAGTATTAGAAACGCCAAAACACTAAAATAACAATAAACACATATAAAATTATATTTAAATAAATTTAAAAATAATATATATATATATATATATATATATTATTTTTTTATAAAAAAATTATAACATAAGTATGTTATAAGATCACTACAAAAATAGCCATTTTGTTTCAACACACTCTGTGTCTTATCAAGTGATGATGTTGAAAAGAAAATAAATGGTTTTAAAAGTTTCAGATTAATTAACGATCCTACACTAGGGGGAAACATTGTTACAAAAGCTAGAATAACCAATCAAAAACGAAGTATAGAAAGATTCAAAAGCTTGACAACGAAATCCTGCTATAATAGCTATTCAGATCTTTAAATACGTGTAATATTAAAAAATAATTTATACTAACTAATAATTATAAAATTATATGATAAAATTTAATATTAAAATTAAAAACTGGCAATTTTAAAATCCAAATTTAATCACTATTAAGTTTAAAAAACTACAAAATTATTGAGAAAAGAAAAAATATATATGTTTATTCAATTCATTTCTTCATTGAAATTACGTTCGACAAGGACGCTACAATATATCCGGTCATTTGACAATACATGTATATATATTTTTTTTTTTTCCCTTTCATTTCCTTTTATTTTAAAGTTTGTGAATATGATCTTAAACTCACGCGTCAAAACAACAAAAACACAATCAGATTATAATACATAAGCACCCAGACATAATTAGATATACACACACACACACACACACACAAAAAAAAAAAAAAAGGAGGAGGTGGGGGGGGAAATACATGAACAACTCTACAGCCCTTTATGAAAAAAGGAGACGTGGAAACTAACACTAATACACACACACAGTGAATACTCTACATACACATAGACACCGATAGATACACATACATACATCCTCAGACAATGAGAAATCACAACCAATAAATATTTCAGACTTAAATAAATGCTAACCACTTATTGAATTATAACTTAAGGGAGCAAATATACAAAGATAAAAATGGTTAAAAATAATATTATTTAATATATTAAAACGAAAATTCTAAAACCATAAATATCAATAAAAATATGTATTAATCATATAAGTTGATAATAGTTTCATTATATATTAGGCAAAGAAAAACAGTATAAAGAAACACACAACTATATACATATATACACAGGAGCAAAAACAAATTAACACAGATAAATATACACTCATACATACATATACATACATACAGAAATACATACAAATAAATATATAAACATAAACATATACGCACATATACATATCTATGATAACAAGTACACATGCACGCACATATACATATAAACCTAAATACACACACATATATACACACAAACTGTTATGAACACATACTTACATATATAAAAAACCTTCATGATATACCAAAGTTTCCATACCCCCACATACACACAAACAAACTCATACATAATAGGTGCCAACACACACACATATATATATATATATACATACATACATAAACATACATAATATATATACACACATACATACATAAACATACATAATATATATACATACATACATATATATAAATAAACATATAAATATATATATACATACATACATAAACATACATAATATATATACACACATACATACATAAACATACATAATATATATACACACATACATACATAAACATACATAAATATATATACACACATACATACATAAACATACATAAATATATATACACACATACATACATAAACATACATAAATATATATACACACATACATACATATTTACAAATAAACATAAATATATCAATCTACAATAACAACTACCCATATACACATGCATACATAAAAATACAACAACACTCAACCAAATACATACATAAACGTACTAACATATAGATACATAAATATACCTTCAAATACCAACACACACCAATATACATATAGTCTAACATACAAATATATAAACACATTCATACAAACAGAAATATACTAAAATATAAATACACATACACAATAAAATAGGACATACAGATATATATGTATGCACACACATATATATATATATATATATATATATATATATATACACACATACATACACACATATATATATATAAATATATAGTGGCATAAAGCCGAAATTAGGGGGCACCCAGTGAGGAACTAACTCATTACTCAGTCGCACCCAATCTAGCGAACCATGCTGGCCAACCATTATACTGCCGTGATTTTATCATACATATACATATTTATACATATACACATACACACACATACATACACACACATATGCATACATATATACATATATACAACCACACACACCCACACACATATATATATATATATATATATACACATACATATATATATTTACATATATACATACATACATACATATACACACATACATATATAGGCACACACATACACATATACAGCAACAATTATTAACCTATTCTCTTATAATCTACCATACCTTTCCCACAATAATATATATATATATATATATATATATATATATATATATATATATATATATATACACACACACACACCACACACATATATATATATATATATATATATATATATATATATATATATATATATATATCTTTTAAGAATAGTAATTGTTGGTTATTGGAATTCATTCCGTATATACCAATTATATACTTTGATATATATATATATATATATATATGCAATTATTTATATATTATATGTGTGCGGTATTTATTGGAAAGCGCTCAATATCAGTGATAGAGCTAACATATTTAGTTGGATTGATGCGAGTTCACATATGTTTATGTTTGTGTGTGTCCAATGAGTGAGTGTGCATGTCTGTACACGTGAATGAGTGAACGTGTGTGTATGTATGTTTGCATAAGTATGAGTGGCGTTCTGCTGACAATTTTCCTCCCACTACCATAAAAACACTGATATACACAACCATATACAAATCCAAAATTTAAAAAATTAATCAGTTTGTCTGATGATCGCAAATAGCGTGAAACCCAGGGTCACAAACTCACATGAATCCAACTATATATATATATATATATATATATATATATATATATATATATATATATATATATATCATAAAATCATCAAAAACAAAAAATTAACATAATAAAGTATGTTCAGCAGATGTTTTTATTTCAAATTCCTGCCAACAAGCAGCACTTGAACATTGTTTTTCATTCCAACACGAATTTTGAATTCAGACATATTTACATCTGTGCTCTGCTATTCACCTTCTTTCAATTACATTTCAATTGTGATTTGGAATACATTTTTGCCCATAGCTCTGAAGGAAAGTGCTAGTGCTAATGCTAAGTGTAAGGCTATATCACTAGAACATAAGGTGGAAATTAATTATTTTATTCAGAATACTGTATGTACATATCATAAATACTGTAATAGGCAATGGGGAGTGCTTATTTGCAATTTATAGTGTGGTTATTTTGACTTAAGTCATTTTTTGACCCAAATGGTGACCTCTGGAATCAAATGACAACGTAGGGTGAGGTATACCTGTAATGTAAATACAAGCTGAAACACATTATAGCCAATTATAAATTCATGTAAGAACTTGTTTTTAATTTTATCCTTGGATACAAAATTCAAAGGCTATTCATAATTGTGTTTATATAATCAATGGTTTTATTATTTATTCATAATATAGCAACTTGTATTTCCTGGAGGTTGAATTATGTTGGTTTATTGAAAAACTGCAATAAGCTCCCTCTAGAGAATTCTGTGCTTTTACATCTCAATTTCAGCTAGATATTTTTTAAAAAGGTTCTCAGTAAGCCAATATTTATTGCAATAAATTTCTTATAAGCATGTAAATTAGTCTTAAATATATTTTAGAATGCCAAATAACATGAAAACAAGCAAAAAAATTGAATGAGCTAAAATAAGGTAAGAAAAATATTAATCAAATATTCTACTTATCACAATATAAAAATTAATATTTAACATGTGCAAAGGCTTGACAAATTGGTAAACATAATCAGGTGTGCGTATGCGAGATAACTTGGTCTGATCTGTGAAATGAAGCCATATGAGAGAATATTCAGAAAGGATTATATTATTTTTAATTGCTGGTTAGGAAAATTTGCAATTTGAGTTTCTTTCACATTTTTTTCTTAACAAATGTAAACCAAAATAATAGAAAAAATACAGAATAATGATGGCAAATGATCTCAATAAACAATGAAAATCAGCAATTTAAAGAGTTTTGTATTTTATATATATATATATATATATATATATATATATATATATATATATATATATATATTGCACACATGTATTTAAGCAGTAGATTTTAAATTGTTAAAACAAATTTTGTAGTTAACATTGTTACATGTGTTTTCAAATAAATCATTTTTAATTTTATTTTAATAAATTTATTTTGGACAATTATAAAATGATAATATTTTCTAAATTCCAGGTCATAATTTCTCACCTTTTTACAAGCCAAAGAAGGATCTCAGCAACCAGTGGAAAATTTGGCCTTCGGAAATTTTCCATTGATATCAAGCGATGATAGCCAAGGGCTCGCATCATCTCTGTAAAATCTGTAGACAAAAACAAAAAAAAAAAATCAAAGTCAATGACTTTCACTTGAACTCCTTTCATATTCTTGATGTTATTACAACAAAACTTCAGCTGATTAATTCTCCAGCCATCATCAGGTATATAATTCATGAGAGAGGAAAAAAAACATATTTTTCCAGAAAATAGGTATAGAAAAAAATGTTTGTTAATATAGCAACTGGATCAATCCATTTCAGTAATATTAGACAAACAGACAAAACCATATCACCACCCATGTATCCAGGCAGTACCAATCTAAATTTCCTAAACAGCTGCTATGTCAAGTAAAGAAAAACCACAATGTTGAAATCTATATTAGCCAGACTTCTGCACCTGACTAACAATGCAACCTCTTGACTTTCTTACTTAGCTGCAATGCTTCCAGTCAAACAGTTGGACCTCATACCACAGAGGATAATATATGCCCTTCTCTCTCCAGATTTGATCTACCTCACTTTTCTAACCCTACTCTTTTTGGTTGTGACTTTAATGAGAATGGCTGCTTTTCTCCTTATATACTTTTCCCTATTTGTATAAGGTGTTATAAAAGCAATGTTTCATCTAATACTTCCCCCAAAATGGACTCTTATAAGATCGGTTTAGTTACTTAAAAGAAAAAAAAGCACCCTAATGCAATAATATTGATAAAGCCTTTGAAGTGGTAGTTATATAGTAGGTGATACTGAGGGAAGGTGTGTTCTTCTGATTCATATCTTACAAACAATCAAGGATGAGTAGTAATTGTATTGGAGTGTGCGGTGACTAATGTCCCTTAGTTCTTCTTCCACTTATGTCTGCTGATAATTTGTGCCTAGTGCTGAAGGTACCTAACTAATGTTTTCTTATCACAGAAGGAATGGGGAAAAGTAAAATTCAATTGAAATCTTGTGCACATTTTATATATCGGTGCTATACTCTCCTTCTGTTTCAATAACATAAAATGCAAAACAAAATGTTTTGTCTTCTTTTTCCATCATGAAGTGCATGGGTGTTATCATAACATGAAGAAAACAAAGAAAGATTTCAGTTGTCTGAAAAAAGAAAAAAGTGCAATGCTAATTCTTAAAGTTATCAATAATATGAGGGTGCTGAAAAGTTCTTGTCCTAACAAACAAACACTTCCATAAAAAAAATCTGATATTTGCCCATTTGGTCAGATTTTATGAAATGGATCAGGCTCAGAACTTTTCAGCACCTCCCTGTGCAAGTTTATTAGATACATGTTACTGAAAAAAAAGCATCAGTGTATATGTGCATACCACTTGGAACAAAGCCCTCTTCTTGGGATTAGTGTAGTATCTGTGCACTCTGCTTAGGACCAAAGTGTTACTCCCCACCCTTCTTCCTAGGATAAGTGAAGTATCTATGCATTCTGATTAAGACCAAATGCATAATACAGATAACAAAAATGGCTTGCCTCATGTAGGAATAGTTAGAATCAATAGAATATACATTTAAAAATAGAAACAGTTAAATTTGAGAAAACCTGCTTTAGGAGTATGAAAAATAATTAAAACAGCTAAAATAGCAATAACATCTCTACACTAAGAGAGTTATAAGGTAAAAACTGTTAAAGGAAATAATGATTAAAAAGTGTCAAATGTATCAGTCAATTTCAATTTCTAGATTATCAGTTAGTGGAGGATAAAATATTTAGGTGAGAATTATTATAATGACCAAGCAAAAAGATGGAGAATGTGAGGTGGTTAAACATTAATTCTAAGCAGAATAAGGGTTAAGCCCAAAATTAAATATAAACTGGAAGATAGATAGAAAGAGAGAATGGAAGACATCTTCCCTGATAATGTGGAAGTGAAGAAAGAGCCATCTGGGTTACTGCACTACAAATTGGAATGATGCACTAAGAGTTTACTTTTTTTTATCTATCAAAAATCTGGCATGAGGGTAAAGCAAATTGGGAAATGGTTTTATCTCTTTCTTAGAAAATTAGCAAAACACATGTCATTGGTGAAAAGAGAAGCAGACGGGAATTGTATTTTTGTTAGCGAAAACAAATTGAGAAATGAAAACAGAGAATGAACCTGCTGCAAATGTTAGGATTATGAAAATTAATCAGTCATAACAGACAGGTGATCTGGTTTATGTTTTCACTAAGACAATGGCTGGCCCAAGGATGGAAAACAATGTGTCTCTTTGTTGAGAATTTAGGTAAACAAATATATTTTCATTAACAAAAACAAATTGGAAAATAATTTTTATCTATTGCACAGGTTAAAATGAGAAAGTGATCTGGTTTGTGTTTTAGCTGGACAGGTGGGCCCAGGAAAGGAAGTCAGAGAATTTAAATTAATGAGGAGAATAAATCATGTCCTTTCTCCTACTCACTTTAAAAATTAGATCTGTCACAAAAACAGTTATGCCAGCCCTGAGAAGTGGGCAGAGCTAGAATACCAAGGAGGAAAGAGCAGATTTAACCCTGCCTGTACAGTGTAGCAATGCAAGATGTGAAGTGAAGCAGGTTGGAGTTAAGAGAGGAACAATCCCTGTGACTACTCCCAAGGAAGATGGATAATTCTCCAAATTTGGAAAATGATTAAGGAAGCAGAAATAGGGAACAAAAAAACAAAAACAAAAAAAAAACAAAAAAAAACCTTTATTGGAATTAATGAAAATTGGGGAATCACTAAATCCCCAAAACCCTTTGGCCCTATGCCAGTTTTGGGCCAAAGTGCATATAAGCAGCTGACTTTGGGGAGCTCGAGATGTTGGGCTGAGATCCTGCATTGAGTGACTCTGAAATTCATGTCAGTTGACAACCAGATTTCCTGATTCCAAGACTTTGAACCCAGCCTTTCAGAACTTTAGACAAGTCCCAGTATCACTATAGAGATGGTGGTGATGTGGGTTAATTTTTGTTGTACCAAGAGTTATATAAACCAGTTGAAGATTTAAAAATAGCAAAAAGCAGAAATAGGGAACAAAAAATTTAACCCTGCCTGTACAGTGTAGCGATGCAAGATGTGAAGTGAAGCAGATTGGAATTAAGAGAGGAACAATCCCTGTGACTACTCCCATTTTATTTTTTTTGTCATGAAGATATTTTTTTCCTTAATATAGCACATGTCACAGCTTGAATCAGTGGTGCGAGATTATGACCTTCAATTTTCCACTGCTCTGAAATCAAGAATACAATGTGGGCAGAGTTGATGTGGATTAAAGCGGCCAATGACCAACAAACAGCTTGGACCAGCATCAGCATTAACCAGCACAGGATTAACCCCATGGTTAAAATGTTGTTCTAAGACCCTGAGGACTGGTCCACTAAAACATGGTTACATCACTGGGTGTAGGCAGTGGCAAAAGGAGTTATATCTGAACAAACAAGTAAAAAAAAAAAAAAACACACACACATGAAAAAGTATCAAATCTGCTAAAAATGTATATATTGCAACACAAAATACTTCAATAAAAGGGAAGCTTTGGTAATTATTTGACAAAATCATTAAATACTTATTACTTTATACATCTTAATTGAAACAATGGACTAATTTTTATCCCAAAGTTAGTACAGGAAGCAATAAATATACAAGAGCCTCAACATAAATGAAACACTTTAGAAAAATGCCTAAATCAAATTTAGTAGTTTAGTGTACAATACAGAAAATTCTGTTAACTTGCAAATGTTCAATAAACTGTAATATGGCCTGTTATGTATCTCATCAAGGTGATTCATAGATAAGTAAAATGTTAACAAAAGCTACAAAAGAAAATATTCCTAAGATTAGCTTATGAAATGATCAAGAATAAAATTATAACTCATGAAAGCAAAAAGTTGAATTTTCAAGACAATAATTCAAAAAGAAAAAATAAATAAAACTATTCAAAAAATGAGTGGAAATTGAAGAAATAACTTTAATACACAAGATTTTGAAATAGTGAAAAACTTTAGCAAAGGATAATATTTTCCTGTCAGTATATCGCCATTAATTCTTATATAATTAAAATCAAATAGGGAAGGCATATAGAACTAGAAATTATTAACTAGCATAGTTCCTGTTAAAAAAAAATGATGATATTATTTATGTATGGATGGATTGGCACTTCATCCTCAGATCAGTTTAGTATCTGTGCATTCTGTTTAGGATCAAAGTGTCACTCCCCAACCCTCTTCTTGGGATTAATGTAGTATCTATGCACTCTGCCTAACTGTAATTTTACAATGCTGTTCAAACAGAGGAATGTTGACATATTTGATATGACATTTGCCTGCTTACCTGATTGAATGTTTGAATTGGGAGTAGGATTCACCTGTTAATTTTATAAACCTATCTGCTCTAAGCATGACAGGATTTATGGACAGAGAAACAAAAAATATAGAGAAAAAGGCACATAAACATTATTATATATGTGATGGATTATAACCAGTAAAAACTACACAACTTTACAAAATGATTTATGACTTGATAATTAAATAACTGAGGTCAATATTATTGTTAATCATAATAATGGAACATTAAAGTATTTTGATTGTTTTTCTCTAATCACACAAATTTATTCCATTTTTATTCTATCTATTAAAGTAAAAAACTTTTACATTTTAAGTCAACAATGTGAGCAAATGTAAAACAATGTTTACTGAAATTACAGAGTACAGCCAGTTTTAGCATTTCAAATGATTTTTAAATTATAAACACTGCTTTATCTTCCTTAAGGTATTTTTTAATTTTATTTCTGGTGCAGATAAGTTCAGCTATTTTTATTTTACTTATTTATTATTGTATTTTTTATATTTGCAACAATATATAAATAATTTATAATAAAATTTATACAATATTGAAAATGTTTTAAAACATTAAAAATTTAAAAGAAATGTGCAAAAAGTTTTATTCCCATAGAAGCAATCCTATTTACAGTGACAAAAATTTATGACATTTAAAAATATAGAAAGTAAATCATAGGCACCTGCTTACAGTCTTACATTAATCACAGTTAGTGGTACAAAATACTTACAATACAAGGTAGTACAATTTAATCATTTTTATGTTGTCCTGATGATTGACATCACTTTAGTTTAGACAAACTATTCTCGATGTATCAGGTTGGAATGTCTGTGTTGATCCTGAGCAACATCAAAAGTGAATGGTGCTGAGAATAATTCAAACTGATCTTCACAAGATGAAAAATCACAAAATCTTCGCTGAAATTCCTTTGACAGCAATTCCAGGTAATTGTACTTCGCAAAGATAAATACAGACTCAGTATTGACAGTTTTTTTTTCAACTCCTTGCACATAAGAAAATGAATCAAGTTTTCATGTGACAACTACGACTTCAATAAAGCTAATTTTGCAATGAAACACTTGATATCATATAACTGAGTGATGAGATTATTTTTACCTTGTAATTTCAAATTAAGGCCACTTAATTGGGCAGTAATAAAAGTTCTCGGTCCAACCAAACTCTAAATAAATGATCAAACGTTAGATATCTTTTTTTTTTCATGACTTGTTTGTAGAACTGAGAGCTTTTCTGCACACGCTCCTATGCAATATTAAAATTTGTTTATTTATTTTATAATTCGGTATGTTCAGATTAAATCATTAATTAAAGTTAAAAACAATCAACCGCATCTATAAACTTCGATGAAAAATTTAAAGTTAACTTTCCTAACTTATTATTTCTGAAGTGGAAAAAAGAAAACAGCTAAATTTTTTCTTAAGAAAAGTACCGTTTTGTTTTTTTTATTTAGTAATTTATGGATCTCTAGTGAAATAAAAAAGGACAGTTGATTATAGAAATAATAGTAAAATAAGAGACAACATTTATTCTTTTACAATTGTTTCTTTTATTTTTTAAATACAATATAGAAATATTAAGTTGAAAAAACTAGAAACAGAATTTAACTCAAAAATTTTAAAAAGTAATATTTTTCAATTAGGAAAAAATTATACATAAATATTATTTAATTCAAACTTAAAAAAAGAAATAAACTAAACATAACAATGATAACAAAAAGTACTGTGCGTGTAAAAAGTCAAGTAGAAGAGTTGTTTTGAAAAAGGAATTTCCTTAGCAACTCTATTGATTCTAATAACTTTTCTAAAACATAGATTTTATGCAAAAGCCTAAATGATTTTACACTTTTAATAGACTCATACAAGGATACGTTCATACTTAAAGTTGTATTACTCACTTCGGAGATCCCGATAAGACATTTTTGGCCAAGATGATTAGTCAACTGCAACAAGAATAAAGAAATTGTTAAGCCGCTGTCGCCATTTTTTAATATAAGGGGAGATTATCTGTTACTAAGTGAAATTTAAGTACATAAGTGAGCGTTATCTCCCTTAATTAAGTTTTTTTTTTACGTTTTTTTTTTTTTTTTTTACGTTTTTTAAATATTGACAAAAAAATGTTATGTGAAATAAAATCTTTTCTCATCATAAGGCTACAGATTTATTTAGTACCTAAATAATATATTTAGTTACTAATACTCGTTCAACTCACATTTGTTTAAATGTTTCTTTTCGTGTGTAATTCACCGTAAATAGTTGCTATTTTTTTTAAATTGTTTTTCTTGCATTTATCATTTGTTTACTTTTTTTTGTCTGTGATAATAAGCTAAAGAGCATATTTGTATATTGAGAAATATTTTCCTTTCATTTAATAATGAAAAACTTTGAAAAATCAATTATATGCTGCCATAGTTTAAAACAACTGAAAACTTTTTTGTTTTTTGTTTTGAAAGAATTTGGATTCAACAATAAAGAATTTAATTTAAGCTTAGTTTAGTTCAGAGCATCATCATAATAATGAAAAACCCAATATAGATCAAAATAAATTCTTAAATGCTATGATCCTTCAGTGTATATATAGTCATGGCTCTTTACAGCTTCTTTTTCTTTAGATCTGTGAATTGCCTTGACTTCTAGGGAAAGATAGTGGAGTATTTTCCTGTTGCCTTCTCCACAGTTTTGAAGTTGGAGTTGTCCTTCTAGACTCAAGGCTTCAGAGACCAGCCTACTCTGATATTTAAGCCATAGAGGAGAAGATGGATTTACACCTTATCCTAGATCATTAGTGCAAAGTGAATGTAACTGACTTTGTCGGAATTTGAACTTGTATCCCACTTTCATTGTGCTAGCTGCATGTCCTCAAACTCACTAATGTAGTGAATTGGTTTGCAAATTTATTAATCATTATATCATTGTTTGTAAATTGAAATTTCCAATAATATTATGGTGATTTACTAAGTGTAGCTTAGATGTGGCACAAGGCTGAAAATATGGGGTACCTAGTGAGGATTGAACTCGCTACTCAGTTGTTAAGCTTGCTAACCAATTCAAGGTACCCAATTCTCAATAATATTATGTCAAGAATTATGAATGAAAAGTTTGGTAATAAAAAAGAAATTTTAAAATTTTAAACATTTTTATTATCAGATGCACTTTTCTTAAAAAACATTTTATCATCATCATCATCATCACCACCACCACCCTCATCATCATCATCATGTCCCATGACCAGGTGTGGTTATAGGGTCACTTGGTAGTTTCCCTCTGCCTTTTCTACAAATATTTTCATGTTAATTGTTCTGATGCGTTTTCCGCTTTGTTACTCTGTCTTCATGAATTTAAGTGTAGTACTAGATTGACAGCAAGGTTTCATCATTTTTTACTGTTGGAATTGCTAAATGTAACTCTAAATTCTTGCACTTCATATCTATTGCATCTTAGTGGCTTTAATGTCTTGCTTGGGGTGAAATAATTAAAAAAGATTGATTGATTTAGTTTTTACAGCTTATAAAACCTTTGCAGATTATTTAAAACCAGAAAATGTTTTAGATTGTAAGAACTTTTGGGATATAATAATGATTTACTGTTACACGTCTCATTAATTAACCTCTAGCTGGGAGGAGAAAAGGTGGATGCATAACTTTCCCAAGGATATTTGCATGTAAGTTAATAACAAACTTGACTGGAATTGGAACTTGGCTCTCCGAACCATTATCCATTACACCACCAGCACATCCAAACTTACATCACCTGGTATTCCCAAGCAGTCACCCATCTAGATACTGACCAAGCTCAATGTTGCTTAACTTCAGTGATCACATGAGAACCAGTGTTTCAATGTAATATGGCCGTAAGCCAAGTAAAAAGAGAGAGAAAGAAATGATGACAAAGTCTTTTACTTGAATGTTAAATTGTTTCACCAGAGTCAACTATATTGAACCAGTATTTCCTGTGTGTTGAAAGATGAAGAAAGATGTCAATTTAATTTTCTGGTTGGGAAATGAGTGTGTGGACACTTTATTTTCCTTCTTATGAAGAGTTGTCACATGACATCTCAAATGTTAGTGTAGATTGTTGCAGTGTTGAATCAACCCACAACAAAGAAAAAGGACAGAAAAGTTTTTAAATATAAAATATTTTTATTTTTGTGTTTTTACAACTAAATTTTTCTCAGTGTGTATGAGTGTTAAAGTTTCTTGTTTGTAGCTGTCTGTTAAAATGAAAAGAAATATGATTTCTCTGCATCCTGGGTATGATGATAAATTTACATTTGACAGATCAGGCAGTTTTGAGGAGCATGGAACCACCTCTTAATTGCTTTTGTTCTCAGGTGCATTCTGACCTGAGGTGATAGCACCTGTTAGGGTCCCAACTATGGGGAAATAGTTAACCCCCAAACTGGGGTCATAACATTATGAAAGTATAAAAATACATTTTCATAGTAAAAGTACCAGCAATACATATTCATAGTAAAAAAATTACCAGAAATACATTTTTTTAAAAAAATACAAACAATACATTTTTTGTGAAAAAAATTCCAGCAATACATTTTTGTAATAGAAATTACTAATGCTCACAAGAAGATTATATTTTGGCATTAAATGACCCATAAGGAGTTGATATTCTGCTACAAACATTAGTAATTGTGATTTCTCTGCATGTATATGTGAAAAAAGAGGCAAGGGAGAAAATGAGGAAGAAAGTGTAAGTGTCATGTAGCTTGGTAAGGAAGATGGGTGAATGTGTAAGAGAATCTCTTTGAAGCTGCGCCATAAACTGATGTTGCATGTATTTGTCTCTATCTCCTTACCGGTTTTGTCCATCTAGAGACTTTACTTACTCTTCAAAGGGGTCATAAAGTATGTATTTTATTGTCAGCAGAAATGCAACCCATTGGTTGAAAAATATTGAAACATTTATTTTCAAAGGATTAATTTATCAACTGGAAGGATGCACAAATCCTCTGACAAAGAAACCATTTTTTTTGTCATTTGGCTTTCAACCATCTTGGGGAGTGAAGATGGAAACACATAGCACATCTTGCTGTATGTTTCTGTCACCCACAAATCTTGGTGTGTGTTTCACGCCCCAAGATAATTATTTTTGTATCCCAACACAGTATTCACTTAATTTTATGAACCTAGAGCATATGAATTTAAGCACAGTACTAGATTGGCAGCTAGATCTCAGTGTTTTACAGTTAAAATGGCTAGACGTAGCCATAAGTTCTATGCTAACAGTTTCTTCTCTCACACTTGTTGCTTATGGAAATCTCTTCCAGCTTCTTGCTTTCCTGTCAACTTCGATCTACAAAAATTTAAATGCAATGTCAATTGTTGTCTTGTCTTCTTAATTTCTGTTCTTTTAGTATTCTCTCTCCCTAATAATGTTTTCTTTTTCTCATATTCTTTTACAGTCAATAAACCCTTTTACTCTAGTGGCTTTATTGTTTTGCTTGGGATAAAATGATTAAAAATAACTTCAGATTAAAGTATCAACCAATTGGTTAACAAGTGAATGATACTGCTCATTTTGGCAAATGATAAAAGCAACTTAGATTTACTTTGTTACAGGCAGGTTCATGTTAAAATCACACTGTGGTCACCATTGATGCAGACATTACTTCTAGTTAGAATAAAAGAAGTAGCAACAATATTTTGCACTTGTTGTTGCAGTAATGGGTAACCTAGAAGACAGAACTTTGTTGTTGTTGTTGTTATTGTTGTGGAGATTAATTCCTTCTCTGCCTCAGCAAACATAAATCCAAGCATCAAACAAAAGGAGACACTGAGTATGGGTAAATAAATGTATAATTTATTTACATATATACAAAACTAGTAACTTGTATGTGTTGCTGTTGCTAAAGGAACAGAGAAAGAGTGTGATGAAATTAGAAGTGAAATGGACATTGGTGATGGCTGTTGTCATTGATGATGTTTCTCTCTCAGTGTCGGTGTTGTCATCAAATGCGAGTCTGTTTGAATTTGGGTATATATATATTCAATTGGCTTGAAATTAAGGTTTCGGTTTTTGAGTGGGAGTGGTTCTGACTGGTCAGAATATATTGTTCATTTTGTTTTGGTTAAAGCGACTGTATGTGTGGATCCAATGAAGAAAAAACACATTTACACAGTCTGATTTGGGTCATCAAGCAGTCAACATCTGGTTTGTGTAGAAAATGTAAGAGGTGTGACAATGTAAATGTAAGGAAATGGAGTTAATTTTAACAAGGTGCTATTTTATATTTTTGCTTTATATAACTGAGTAAAAAGAAAGAGAATATATGCTAGTAGGTAGGCAAAAGAAAGAAGATATTAAAAGTTAGGAATTGTGTTGGTGATACATGTGTGTCAGAGAGTGTGTGAGGAAAGCCAACCTTGAGAGAGAGAGTTCAGTCACTAAGGAAAAAGATATCCTCATACTCAGAAATAAGGTCCCATGGATGATATTGCAACAGCAATAAAATCCATTGGACCTCATTAACATCCATGGGTGGAAAAGAGAAAACAAGAAAGCAATGACAAAAATGTCCACTTAGCCTTGAATAAATGTTTAATCATTTAGGTTGTTTTTTTTTAGTACACGTTCTTTTAAGAGAAGTGTATTTTTATGAAGCCCAGATGATTTGTGTAAAAAATTGTTACACTTGTAAATTGTTTTTGGCTCAGTGGTTAAAAGCCACCAAATTTGTAAATGATCCATTTCAAGTTATGGAAAATATTGTATATCGTCTTTAGACAAGAAGTAAATAAAGCCTCATATTTACTTTAACAATGCCTGATCCATTTCTGTTAGTGTGAGCTATGACAGTGGTGGTATAACTGATACAAGCTTGGAATTAGAAGTTGGACACAGCTTAACTTGAATTCCAGTTGAGTTCACTGCATTCACTTATGTGAAAATACTCTTGGGAAAGGTATGAATCCAAGATATGAATCCATCTCTTCTACAGGTTAAGAAGGCAGGCTGGGCTCTTTAACCCTTGTTGGTAACCATTCTAGGAGCGGTCAACTATGAATTCAAAATCCGTTGGGCATAGAGTTAGCAAATCCATCCTGTATAAAACCTTCTACTTAACTTAACTTATGGAAACCACAACACTTAGCAATGCCTAACATGCTGAGAACTGTGGTCCCATACTTCTTAGGTAGTGTACTGGACTTAAGTGAGAGAGTATGAATGAGTTACTGTTATTTATTGTATACAAAATACAATTGTGGCACAAGGTTGAAAAAGGGGAGGGGTTGAGGCTGGTCTTCACTATCTTATACTTAGCTAATCTGATTCATGACCCATTCACTCATTACAATTTTCCCATTCACCACAAAAACTCGTCCATCACCAATCAATCCTCCATACACCATAATACCGCATCCTCTCAAAGGGAACCTACAAAACGGGCCCATAAAATTTTAATGATGATAATTAATTATATTTACAGTTCTATGATGAAAAATGAGAGGGGAGGGAATGAACCCCAAAACAAACTAAATATAAACTGATGTTAGTAGGGCCCGTCCAACCCTCAAAATGAGAAGCCGCTGTATTCTGCCCATTGGACAAAATCAAGAAGCTCTCTCACTAAGGGAGTGGGAAAAGTGAAAATATAGACGGACATGGGAAATAAAAAGCTGACCCAGTCGAGATGAAAAGGGGCCAAAACAAACTGGGGAGGTTGGGAATCTCAACTTGGATCATAACCAAAGAAGCTGTCGGGAACAGGCTAGGAACAACATTTACTCATATTAACTAAGTACACAAAGCTTGTCTAACCTAACCAAGGACAGGGCTCACAGGAAACCATCCCGATGTGACGTAGGCTGACCTAAAAGAGAAAATCAAGGCTAGCCCCGTTCAAATGAACCAAGCTCACCTCAGTCACCCACCTTTCGCTGAAGACTGTCAAATGCAGGCATTTTCTATCAGTTCTAATCTTCATCTTGAGCTGATCAGATCCTGACGAGAAAGACGGATGCCTTGCAAGACTTCCTCCTGTTGCGTCAACAGCATTAGAAACACCATTCATTTCACCTGGGAATACGAGGGCGACATATTGTCACACGCATATGCGTGATCAATGAGCACAAGCTTTTTGGGAGTGAGACGAGCCATCACCTCGCCGACATGGTCACATAAGGGGCAGACCTGGGGGTAATGGTAGAAGGTGTGCCAAGCCGTTTCCTCTAAGCCAAGGCCACACCGTTCACAGTCTGGCAAATCTGCCAAGCCCCATATAAAGATCTTGTCATTGAGAGGCAGCCGATTGCAAGCCAATCGCCAGCTAAGTGAAAACTCAGAGTTACTGAGATAATCCACTGCTGACACCCAAGACCAGAAAGAGTGAAACTCCTCCGCCGACAAGTGAGCCGCTCACAGAGAGAATCCTTTGTGACCCCCTCCACTAGAAGATGATAGAAGACCTTCTTAGGCTGAGAAAGGTCACTGGACTGAGGAACAGCCAACAAGGCCACCCAACACTTGCAAAGTAAACCCGATTAATCTCGGGGCCCACAACGGTGCGCGACCAGCAAGATGAGAGGACTGATAGTAAGGAAAGGGAACGCGTACCTAACAATCTCCACCATAATCGAATCTCCTGTCAATGCATGGCATAGGAAAGCCAACCTTGAGGTGAGTTTGTGGCTCGCCAAGTGTGGCATTACCAGCCCATCCCCTGAAACAGACGTTGTACACAGACTTGTCTGTCAACCCGATTTCTGCGTCCCCTCCATAAAATGGAGGATAGCGAGTGCTTGAGCGGCTTGCTATGAGAGGAAGTATGGACAATCGATAAAGGACAAGAGGGAAAACATAAGTGTCACATGCCTCTGCCCTGCCCTTCACGGACAAACTC